AGACAACGTCATCTAATAATATACCACATGGTTGGAAGGTTAATGTGTTTCAGGGGTCAAGTCCCTTTCCTCAGAGCTAATCCAATCACCTCCTCCAAAATATCACTACTGAATCCACTATCAGGAGCTACTACAGCCTTAATGATGCTTAAGCAGCATTGACTGGATTAGCTCCAAGGAAAAGGGCTTGATCCCTGAAATGTGTCTTCCAACCATGTGGTATATTATGAGATGTCATCATCTATGGCTGGAGTTGTTGTTATTTGATATGCCTGTTCCTCTTCTTGTTTGTGAGTATGCAATTGTCTTTGAAATACACTAGGCATTTTGTGCCCTCCTGTGTGTGTTTTTGAAGTACTTTGGAGGACATTGTATGGATTTTGGAACACCAAAGTATGATCCTGGACTGTCATCAACCATGTCTCACACGAAACATTGTTTATCATAAAGATAAAGTGGGCTTAAACACTTCTATTCATATTACCCTGTTTGATCTGCAGTTGCCATGGTGCTGCACATGTGATCAGCTAAGACTCCAGTCATTTGATGGCTTGATACGTGATGGTTGAGAGTGAAAGCAACTGTGACAGTTATCATTCACAGCATGCCTTTAATGTAACTGTTTTCGCAAACTATTAAATCAGTGGGTTTCATTCTACTTTAAGGAGGAGGTAAGCAGAGGAGCATGGGCTTTGAGATCATTGATCTTTGTGCCATATAAAGCTGTCATTATAATCCTCACTCAAGTCTCAGTTCAGTCAAGCCAACTCCTCTATTTCACTACTTAGTGAATAAACTGAACAAAGTATGCAAGCTGAAAGTTTTAAAATCACAGACTGGACATGTGTGCCTGTCCAATGAAGCCAGAAGATTAGAATGACAACAAGTGAACTGGCAAATTCTGAAATATCTCCAAAGTGGTGATGCAGATATTATTTATTTACAGGTTTATTTTGAATGCTCTTCAGTATCAGAAGCTTTCAGGTTTTTTTGTCAAAGTTTAATTCAACAAGCTGAAGTTAGAAGCTGATTGGCTACCATGCACAGGTGCACCAGATTTTGCACTCTCCAGTTGTAGTAAGTCAACCCCCTAGTGTAATACTATATATACTGGACAATGTCAAAATCAAAACAGATTCTACACACGGGCTGAATATCTGGTAGTATTAGCTGGTTTCATAGAAACTGGCCAACATTCAGCCCATGTCTACGGAAGCTGGTCCAGCAGAAGACAGCCAAACATCCAGCTTCTGTTGAAGGGGCATGACTGTACAAGGTCTGCCAATCAGCATCCGATTAGTGCTCTCAGCCAATGACTGAAAGCGCTGACCAGTGTGTTCTGGCTTGGGGGGACAGTCCCCCTGTCAGAACACAATAGCTTAGCAGGGAGATCGCTGTACTAAAATCAGATTGTCACCACAGGATCTCCTCCCGAGCTCTTCAGTTTTTTTTTTCATTCAGCCTGCTGAGTTGAACAAAAAAAAACTGATAGTGTGTACTAGGCTTTAAGCTGTGTCATTGTGGCTATGGAGAGGTTTGTTTGTCTGTGCTCATATCTGACAAAAAAGCAGTCCTTTAAATTACAAAGCTTAACTGACATTTCTGATTACTGAAACATCGTAGGAACATGTTTGAGTAATGCACTGACATAAGAAACAATGGGGTTGATTTACTAAATGCAAATTGGCTGTTCACTTTGCAAGAGAAGTTGTAAAGGTAAATTTCACTTTGCAAAGAATACCCAACTACGAGCAAGGAAAACTGCATTTTTGTTTGCACATGATTGGATGATGAACGTCAGCAGAGCTTCTCCTCAATTATTAAGCACCAAAGATAATTCCCCTGCAAGGCAAATAGTCTATTTCCCTTTAGTAAATAAAACCCAATGTGTCATAGTATCTCTGCAGGCTGTGCTCACTTGCCAGTAGTAAAGGGTGACATATCTCTATGAATTGCAAGGCTGTCCTAACTAGTAGACCCATATCTGTCACGGGTCAGCCCAATTTTTGTGACAATGGTCATGAATTCAAGGAACTGAGTTTTTCAAGATGCATTCATTATTACTAATCTTGACCTTATCTGTTCTGTACACTAAATCAGTAATACCAAAATATTTAAACATGACAAACTGTTTAAATTGCTGTACATCTTATACAGTATAATAAAATTATACACAATGATATTCCAAATATTGTAAAAACTTGGTGAGACTATAAAAAATACTTTGTATATCTGGTCTTTGCTCCTTCAGTTCCAATAGCAACACATTTTTATCATACCAATATAAATAAAATATAACTTAGGATCAGACTGCACCATCCTTAAAGCTCTAAATAGGAATTGATCAGATTGGTATTACTGGATATACATTAATCTGACAATGGCAACTCATAGCTAGCCCAACTTTTTTGAAACCTTCCCTCAGCTTACACCAGCAGTTCTAGTTTTACAGATGGCTACACAAGGAAATTAAAGCAAACTTGTCACCAACCACAAATGTATCTAAACTGTACACTAGGAATCATCCAGTGCTATAAATTACTTGTAGTGCCTGTATTCACCATTCATGCCCTGCTGCCTTTTGATTTAAACTTGTAAAACATATGGGTATGGTGGGACACTTGGCACATTGTTACTTTCATAATGCAGTGTCTGGAGCCTAGGCAGCCAATGACCATACCTAAGTGCTGTCACATGAGGAGCATGTGACTAGCTGTGCTCAGAACTTGGCACTGCTAGCAAATTAATGATCCAGGGGCACATAACACACTAGGGATTATTTACTAAAACTGGAAAGTGCAAAATATGGTGCAACTCTGCATAAAACCCAATCATCTTCCATGTTTTATTGTCAAAGCTTAATTGAACAAGCTGAAGTTAGAAGCTGATTGGCTACCATGCGTCAAATTCTGAGTGCTCCAGTTTCAATAAATCTACCCCAGTGTGTGTGTGTGTGTGTGGGGGGGGGGAAATGTCTGCTTTGTAGTTGAACCCCAGCCATACAGTTAAATACATCAGCAAAGAGACATATACATTATGTTCATTGTTTACTATGAAAAATAATCATGGTTCAGTTTCGTCACATTGGTGATACACATAACCCTGTCACACTGCACAGCCATGATAGAAGATGACACCTTTTCTCTTTTACAGATGAGGAATGCAATGGTGTCACCTAGCACCCTGCAGCCTTCTGTTTGGCCAGTAAAAACGCAGCAGAATACTAATGAAGTAATATGTGTACTCCTGAAAACACTGGCTGACAATGCTGATCCACACTCTTTCAGCGTGAGTACTGCTGTGCAAAGGATTGCAACAAACTGATATAACAATTTTCAGATACCTACAGTATATCAACTGTGTCACAAATCAGAACAGTGATTTTTCAATAAATACCTTACTACAGTAAACTGTATTTTGCATATCTGCCCAGAGTTCAGTTTTAAGTCACGTAAATAAGGCATAAATTACCTGCATATCTAAGATTATTTGCAAAACATATACTCTTGGTGGGATCCAAGAACAGGTTTAGGCTAGTCCTTTCTAACACTGGTTACACCATGTCGTATGACATATATCATGCAATGCTAATCATAAAAGCCTTCATTTATAGCAATCCAGAGCTGAATAGATGCCATTGTTTAATATACTAGGCATTCAGCAATCCTTCTTATCCATCATAGCAATCAATACTATGCAAATAGCCCATCAAACGACATGCAAACTAACAATTTATGTTTTAAAGGGTCACACCACAATCTGTCAGCTGGTCATCAACAAAAATAAACTATTTCATATTGTTTTGTGTAATCTACAGTATACTGTGAATCCAATTAATCTTTTTGTGTCCATGTTCATAGGGTTAAAAATGAAAGCAATATGAATTAGGCCAGCCATAGTGCTATGGCAAACTAACTAAAAATTAGAAAAAAAAATGATGACATAATAGAACTCTAGAATGCACAAATGTGTATGTGGACAACCTTTATTTTGTACCTGATCACATTATATCAAGTTTACACATCAATCATTTCCTGTAGCAGTTTGGTATCTCAATGTTTAGTTTTTTGTATTTTTGTTTTTTTTTTAATAGATTAATGCATTGTGATCACAGAAACAAGTCAGGCATTTAAATACATATTAAGGAGTACATATATTTTCTATTTAGTATACAAATTATTTCATGGATATGAATTTTTTCTATTTTAAAAAAATATTTTAACCCCCGCTCACATAGCAAGCATATCAAGAAAATCAATGCAACCCATCTGATTGCAAATAACAATATTGTTTCTTCTTTTTTATAGATAATCTTAAATCAATTCACATTTTGCAGAAAAAAATATTTTGTTAAATAAATGTGATATATATATCCATTTTTAAGGTGTAGACAAGAATGGTTCAAGTGACTGAATTTATTTTCGTAGAATTGTAAAGCATGGATTTATGCACTTGCACATTTTACTGTGATTTTCCTCTTTTTTCTACTTAAAGGTATTCCTCTTTTTAAGAAACTGACCTTCCTTTGCATGCTTTTGACTTGTCTAATATTAATCTTAACACATTGTTTAGACTCGGACAGTAAAAGAACATTTTCACCAGCTTTATCCATTTGTAAGTAGACGTTAAAAAATGGAGATAGCCTTCTCTGGTTACAGTTTTTTTTTCTTTATCGTTGCATTAACCAATCACAGGGAGACAGAAGTTTTGCATTTGGGTACAAAATATACAGTAGATGCCTCTGTGGATGAGGTTAATTTTGTTTGTGATAATATAAAGTATCCCTTTGGCAATAGTGTCTGGTGCAATCCTAGAGGTCCAGATATGAGATAATCTGAAAAATGAGAACCTACAAAGAAATTCCTTCAACCATAATCAACTGGACACTCCTGAAATCACCTGCATCTATGCCTATATAGATAATATTTGGAAGTTTAAAGTCTACCAAGGCACTTTTCATCATTGAATTACTGTCTCTACTAGGGCTGACTCTGCAAGACCTACATTTTGCTCAGTGCTGTTTGTTCTTCAAGGACTTGTAAATAATCAGGTGTGCCTTGAAGTTTGGCTTTGAGTTCAAAGTATTCACTCTTTCTCTGTTCTACTACAATTTTACTGTGGTTCCCACCTATTAAAGACTTCTTGCATTTCTTATCTTGTAGCTTTTCTGGATAGTGTATTTCAAAACCACTGACTCCTATGCTATTATATTCTTTTTTACTTTCTAAAAAATTCTGGATAAATAAATTGGAGTCTCTTCCTGGAAAAAATTCATCCAGTTCATCAATTGTGCTAAGTCTTTTTCTAGAATCCCCATGTGATAAATCCTTATCTTTGTCAGTCAAACTCCTGAGGACCACCTTCTGTCCATGGTGATCAGTAAATGGATATCCCATTTCGGTGTCCTTCATGCCACATGTATGACTCTTGCTCATTTGTTCTATAGTTTGTGGAAAAAAAAATGTTTCTGCAGAGATACCATCCATCTTAAGGGCTTTCTGGTCATGCTTCCTTAGCTGGAGCTGCATAGAACTGCACTCCTGGTTTCCAATGCCTTCATGCTTTACTGTAGGTTTTTTATTTCGTCTCAGAACAAAAACAAGAAGGCAGAAATGCAACAAAAACTGTTAATATGAGCACGACTAAAATACTAAGTATTAAGATTGACAAAGGTACAGGTCCACCTGGTGGACTTTTCATAGGACCTAAAGGGGTTGTGAACGTGATAGCAGGGATGGGACTGGTATACTGTGTGGATGGCTTGTTTACCAACTTGGGGCACAAAACCTCATTTTTTAGAGATCGCAGCTCAATGTTTGCAAACTGCACAGGTGTCTCGCATTTGACCTCTTTCATAACAATGCCTTCGCTTAGCTTCTCCAGCCAGAGCTTCAGAGCTACCAAATCACACGTACAGTCCCATGGGTTTCCTTCCAGATCAATCTGTGTTAGAGATTTCAGCTGGTCAAGAACGCCACTTACAGGCAGGTACATGAAATGGTTATTCCTGATATTGAGTCTAGCCAGGGGCACTCCTGAAAATATATAAGCTGGCAAACTTCTCAAGAGATTGTTATTTAAATAAAGCAGCTGAAGGTTTGGCATTGATTCAAAGGTTCCCCCCAATATTTCCCTTATCACATTGTATTCCAGATAAAGGTACTGGAGATTGTGCAAACCATTAAATATTTCAGGACTCAAACGTTCAATTTGGTTCCCATTAAGATAAAGCCTCCTTAGGTTTGTAAGGTTGCAAAATACATTTCCTTGAATCATAGTCAGTTGATTGCTTCCTAAATGAAGCAGATCTAGACCTTCAAACTCAGCAAAGTCTGCCTGTTCCACCTGTTTGATATAATTCCCATTCACATGCAGTTTCTTGGCATTTATAGGCTTAGGTACTAGTTCAGCCATTGACTCTAAATTTCTTTCCTGACAATTAACACTCAATCCTAAATCAGAGGGATGTGTTTTACAAACACAAGGCGATGGGCAAGGAGTGAGAGGAGGTACCCTTGTTTGAAATGACACTATCTGGCTGAGATTGTGATTAGAAACAGATTTTCCAGACACTATTCCAGAATTCTTGGAAGGATTGGTAGTTTTAGGGGGCTTAGTGGCTAATCGATTCTGTGAGGTTTGACCAGTGTGCCCCCCAGGCGTGGTGAATGTTGTCTCCATGGATGGAGGCAATATCCTTACATCAAAATCACTGCCAGTTCCCATGGAGCATAATTCTTGTTTATTTGTCTCTTTTAATAACCTTCCATACAAGTCACTTGGTGTTTCACAAATAGCCTCTCCAATGTAGATATTATATGGCATGTTCTCCAACCAAGCTTTCAATGGCAGCAAATCACACGTACAATTCCAAGGATTATCTTCCAGCTGCAGCTCCACCACCCTCCCAATATGCTCCAAAACACCTATATAGGGCATCTTCTGTATTCTGTTTCCTCTAATGTCCAAATGAGTCAAGGAAGCAAACCTAAATATATTGTCAGGTAAAGCAGAAATCAGATTGTCATTTAAAATGAGAACTTTCAACTTGTGTAGTTTATTGAAGGCTCCCCGCTCAATATACTTGATTAAATTGTAGTCAGCCTGGAGATACTCCAAGTTCTCTATGCCCAGGAATGTGTCAGCCCTCAGGACTTTTAATTCATTGTTGTTCAAATGCAACTGTTTTAATGCACTAAGCCCCTGGAAAGCTCCTCCCTCTATATTCTGCAGCTTGTTGTTGCCCAGCTGCAGGGACACGGCATGGGTGAAATTAAGGAACGTGTTAGGGTACAAAATAATCAAAAGATTGTTCTGAAAGTTCAGGTGGTAGAAATTGGACTGAGGGGGTTTCAGCTGGTTTGGTCGGTACACTGCCACCTTTTCACAGTTGACATACAGCACATTTTCTACTGACAGGCACGAGCAGACACTGCAGATCTCCAGGGTGAGTTCTGAGTCCGGGTTGGTGGAGGAGATTGGGGTGGAGAGGAACAGGAAAAGCCACACAAACATCTTCAGGCAGTGACAAAAAGATCTCAGGCTGCTGATGTACTTCATCTGAGCAAACAGAAAGAAATGGTCTTAATATCACTGACTTATTACATGTCATAAGGCATGCACAGCACGAATATGGGACCCATTGCCTGTATTCATGTTTGCATATGAGGGTGTGTGTGTGACTGCTTATGCAAAACGATACTAGCTGTCTACTTAAGATACTTCCACATATGCAAACTTCCTTTTAAGACATGATTAAGGCTATATACTGTATTTTAGTCTCATACAACTTTAGAATACATTAACCATGAATGATTTTCTAAGCACTGTCTCATTCCACTTCCACTTGGCCACATAACTTGCACTAGGGACAGATAAAGGTTTATGAGAGTGTAACGGTAATCTGCATCCAGGTATGAAAAATCTTATGGTCAATGCAACATAATCTTTATATCAACCGTGTTCTGCAAAGCATCATACATTCCTAAGTGTATCGTAAATGAGATCATTGATGTATGTCTATTAACCAAATAATATACATAATTGCACATATATAACCTAAATGTGTGTTTGCAATGTGTTTTAATACAATACATATATGTCTTTAAGTACAAAATCCACCATATGAAATTTTGCAAAGCATCATATATGAAATGGGTCTGTGTGCATACTGGTGTACACACAACTGTGTATTTATAATACGTACAGAAATGAGCAAAGTACCAATTGTAAATGTTTTTTTGCTTTCACTGTTCATAAAAGTAAATGTTGCTTACGTGATTAAAAAAAAAAAGGCTAGTGGCGCATGGTGCAGCTCATACATATATTTCACCTGCATCACCTGGATAAACTTTCAAGACTAATCTAAAAAAATCTACATATGTGCATTTCAACTGCCTAGCACTTTTCACCAGAGCAACCTGCTAAATGTCACCGCTCCCTCCAGCAAACCAGCACTCCGCCACACTGCCACATAGAGCCCCATGCTGTCCCCACACACCCAGTACAGATGAGAGAGGTAGAAAGGGATTACATGCACAGACAGAAAGAAAGAAAGAGAGAAAGAAAGAAAGAACGAGAGGATGATTAGAACAACACAGGTCAATGTTAGACAGCAGTACCTATGATATCAGTGGCAAATGCCTGAGGTTTGTGATAGTACTGATTAGTACTGCAATGCTTTGCCGCAGCATGGTCTCTGCTCCTGCTGGGTGTTCTTGTCCTCAATCAGATATCTCCTCCAGAAGATGAACCTGGGCTAAGAAGTAGGGATCCCCTGGCACAGATCATTCATGCTAGAGGTTCTTTCTCTGCCAATGTAATACAAGCCAGCAAAAAGGAAGCTATTCCCTCTTAGTCTCTGCAGATCCTTAATTAGGAACAGGTAGCAGTGAATAAATGAAGTGGCACCCACAGAGCCAGATGATGCTAGAGAAAGCGAGGCTCTGGGGCAGGTCCAACTTGCTGTGTCGCTCCTGTGTCTGGGCTGCAAGAGGGAGTCCACAGTGTGATCGGAGGGCAGGGAATTACTGGAGAGGGTCTTATAAGCTGCATCAAACAGACTCCCAGTATGGATAAAGCTCTCGCCTCCTAGTCAGCTGTGTTTCCATGGGATAATGTTTGCTGGTGGCGAATGTCAGGCTTAGGAAGAGGCTCTTTTTAGTCAGATAGCTGCTGGATGTGTCTGGTGGTTACAGGAGGGGGGAGGTGAGTGGGAGATCATTTGCTGCCGATGGAGGACAGATCCCTTTTCCACCGATCAGTCACAAAGAGAATCCATGAAGTAACCCTTCAGCTTCTAGATACAGACTACCAATGCCATTTTCAAGCCATGGACCTAGAAACACAACAATCACACACAACTGAGCACAGAATTTAAAAAAAAACAGCACCTAACTATTTTTAACATTTTTCTAAAAATATACTGCTAGCTTAAACAAAAGCAAAGTCATTTTGATGCTATCAGGTTTTCCAAAGGATCTTTCAGTTTTATTCTTTTAACAATGTATGATCATTTTTTTTTTAATCTGCATCAGTTCAGCAAAGGCAGATAAGGAAATCATTCATTGGCAAGCGTGCAAGACAAAATCACATAAAAATGCAAGATTTTGCCTGGCTGGGGAAAACCTGACTTGCATCGATGGATGTCTCAAGCTTTAATGATGATGGGGTATAACTGTAAGATGTCAAGCTTTGTCATTCTATTAAATCAGCATAGCAAGGAAAATAATAGATGCCCCCCCCCCCCCCCTTTTTTGGTCTGATGGCTTACCTTTAAAATCTGGATGCATGTAAAGAAATGGAAATGTTCTGCATTTTCTGATTGTCTCCAAGAGATCTGGACTTCGCTCTGTTCCTCACGCTCTCTCTGCTTCTCTACCCCCCCCCATCCTTTCCTTCTCCCTCTCTCCCCCCTCTCTTCTCTCTCTCTCTCTCTCTCTCCCTTTCTCTCTCGCACACAGTATACACACACACACATACACACAGCAACACAACCTCAACATGTATCAGTGGATGTCTTTCAATAAATAAACACAGGCACACATACAGCTACTGCACTTAATTTGGGATTCCAGTGGAAGGGTGAGTTTTTAAGAGCAGGATTGCCAAAGAAGAGCTGCAATTCCCATCTACACAGATCCACTAGATCAAGATAGAGTGCTCTGATCAATCATTATTGATGTCATGCTGCTGTTGAGTTTATTGGGATCAAAAATTAGAGGTTGAATAGGACTACCCCTACTGTGCTTGGCCAAGGAGGTGTTGGGGGATTGCATTAGCTCTAGCAAACTAAGGGTAAAGAAGGGGTGGCTAGATGTACTTTGGGTATCTTTTTTTTTTTCCAGCACTGTGATGTGTGGGTGCTTCACGCTTACACCAAAGGTATATAATGATGACTGCTATTTTGTTTCATCCACCATGGCACATGCTTTATAATAGGTGATCTGATCCAAGCAAAAGACAAAAAAAATGGCACCTTAGCACTGGTGCTCTTGGTATGCCTGTTAATGTAAAGGAATTGATGCAATATTTAGATGGTGGTCTGCCAGCTCTGCAACAAGCTTCTTTCACTCTGCATGCTAAAACTGTGCCACCGCTGTGAGTACAGGCAACATGAAATTGGTGCACAAATCTTTCATTTTTATGGATAAACCGATTACTTCTGTGCTACATCCTGTTCCTCAAGTAGGCAGATGATTAGGAAAGCACATTATTGAAAATTCGCTTCCTGTATAGCATCATTTGCTTGTTTTGTTTTCAATGTAGTTTAGTATTCTTTATACGTATGTGGGGAAACAATGTTCTGTGATTTCATAACACAGCAATATTCATTTATTTTGGATTCTTTTTAGTTAATTTTGCTTTTTTTTTTTCTGCAAAAGAATATCTGCTGTTTTATGATCAATACTGCTTTCATCAGTGAGGAGGTAGGACTTAGGTAATACTACTGTTTGTGAAGTGCTAGAACCCAGAGCAACCAATGGCCAAGCATTTCACTAGCTGGAAGCTGATGGGGAACTCTGGTTGCTATGGGTTACTAGGCATTGCAGGTCACCATTGCTCTTAGCGCGGCTTTAAGAATTAAGTCTATTAATTCGCTATGTCTTTAATCAGATCAGTGGGTATTATGGAAAATCTTTTAATTGTGGGTTTTTATTCACTTTTGCTTCATGATAGCTCATCCTTTGCTCTTTTGTTGTAAAGAATAAAAAAAAATGATAAGCTTTGGTGAAATTTAGCTTATTGTAAAACAGTGCTGGCATAATTTGAATCTATTATGTACTGCCTAGTGGGATTAAAGACATTTATTCTCACTCACAAATAGATGGGCTTATTAAATAGGCGATGGAATAAAGTGCAGCAACACACACTATCAGCCAATCAGACTTCACCTTTTTTGTAGTTTGCAGCAGTCAGAACAATGAAAGACAATTGATGATTGGTTGCTATGCATTTTTGCAGTTTACACAGTGATTTTCGGTGAAATAACCTTGATTTCAGACAGAAGAAGTGAAGCTCATTTTCCGGCTGATGAAGTGATCACAGGGGGGAGCAGAAGAAGGAAAGGCCGACTGTCAGGATGGCAGGTGGCAAAAGGGTTAAGTGGCGATAAAGGTGAATTATGGGGGAGAGAATCGAGTGATTAAAATGAGAGGATAGAAGGCACGAAGCAGGAGCTTATTTTTGGAAGATGTTTTTAGATGGTTAAAGCAGAGAATAGTTAAGGAGGGGAAAGAAAAGGATTTAACCTGCAGAAATCAAGGGCTTAATTAAAAAAGAGTGCCGCAGAGGTAATAGGTTAAAAGGCTTAGGAAGGTTGAAGTGTTAAGACCGTCAAGCAAGGGAATAAGGAAGGAGAGGAATGTGAAAGAGTAAGGATTTAGCCGAGGATAAAATCTACTTCTGTCTTTTGCTGTCATACATTTCTGCAGAGCAGGGAGCAGGGTGACCCAGTCTATTGTATAGTGGGGAAGGGTTAACTTCACTGCAGATGTATTGTGATCTTGTCTGTGTGCAAAATACTGAGGGATGCCTATGTGAGACAGCACATCTCTGAAGCAGGACTTTACTATGTTCTAATCAACATGCAGATGACATGTAACTGCAAAGACTCCCTCCTACATAAGTGCAAATCAGACTGCTATACATAGGAATGACCCAGCCAGCCGCTCTTAGTTCATGCTAATTGTTGTCACAGCTTTCTTTTTATCCCTGAAAGCACATTCTGTTTTATACTGGCTCCCTCTGCAGCCTACATTGTTGAAATGTACCTTTTTATGTGATCATATGAGGAGCCTCTTGACAATTAGGGTCATAGTTCTAAAAACTAACATTTATTTGGTATGACCACTCTTTAGTCTAACTGTATTGGATGTAAAGCCTGCACTAAACAGGGGGTACAAAGTGCCGTAACCCATAGCAACCACATTTCAAACCGTGTTAAATCCAAAAAGCAAGCATTTATATTGCAACTTACAAATTCTTACATGGCTGGGGGGATGTAGCTAGAAAGTCTGTTGTTTTTAAGGGCTTATGTACACTACAGCTGATAAACTCAC